AGAGAAGTCAAGCACAAATATCTGTGGTTCTGATTTATACCAGTGTAGGGGATGTGTATTTAGTTAGCAAGAATTTATTTAGGACATTAATGTGTCAGCTCCTATTGAGATGCAGTAAAAAGAGAAGGCCTATTGAGCTTTAATCAATTTTATTTAATTACTTGCTATTAAATTCAGAATAGCAGGAAAAAAGGTTACTGTGAGGCAGTGGCTTCCACCTGCCCTCCAACACTTGCTCTATAATGACTTGTATGTATAAATACATTTATGCCTGGGAAGCAGCTTCTGTTTCTCATCTTTAACCACCTGAGAATCATGCACTTCCTGAACATTGTAAAATCCTCTCACCTTGTGATAACAAGCCACCAGGTTTTCCTTCTGCGTCAAAGACAACATTGGTATTGTACTGATAGTGGCCATCACTTGGTCACCTTAGATTACTGGAACTACATGGTTTCCTGTCTCCCATATTTGCAACCACACAGATGGGAGTTATTCCTCACCAGACAGCTCAATCTTTCCAGCATGAGTGAGGGAGCAAACCTAATCAGCAGGGAAGGAAGAAAGAAGTAAACCATCAAAACTATTCAATCCATAAAAATTCCAACGCTAAGATTACAGATCACAAGAGTGATGGGTCTAGGTTAGCCATATCTAATAGGAGACTTATTTTCTGTTATTTGACAGACGGCAGCACATTTGCGCTTCAAAGCTTAGCATGCTGAAATTCTTGCATCACCTCACATTAAGTGAGGAACACAAGGGTTCCCTTGCAGCGAAAGCAAATCTTTGCACCTTCAAGTCTCCCTTCTGCTGCCAGCATGTGGCACAGCATCGATATTACACCGACACATGGGCTAATCTCAGCCATTCTGCTGCAGCTCTCCATTTGGCTGATGTGCTGAGGTAGCTTCTGATTTGTTTCTTCTATGGTATGTTTTGTTACTTGTCTACTGCAGCTTCAAAAAACGGAGCAATTTATTAAGGAAAATAACAGAATAAAAAGGCTACCAAATCATGATTCAAAAATGTAAGTTTGGAATTGTGCAGTATATTCTTTCAGTAGTAGCTGTTATTTTATTCACAAATATTCCTAATATTCCTGTATTGTAAACATTTTCTACAACATGCTTAGAATAACTTTTCAAAATGTAGATCCCAATAAGTTTCTTCTTTTAAATGAATCTCAACCTTTCTGGTATACTAAAATAAAGAGTTACAGTGATAAAAAATGACAGAGAAGAATTACAAAGAGGGTTGTCTGAAGCTATTTATGGCAACTACATGATGTCTAGCCTGGCTTCATTTCACAGCAGTTGATCCAAGACACTTAAAACTATCAACCACTGCTCCTAAAGGTAGCCATCCTGTCCTGTCACTGTTCCCCCATTTATAACATGGACAATATCTTCCAGGATCAGCACATGGAATCCAGTCCACCTGTGAGTCTGGGATATCTTCAATACAAGGGTATATTGTTTCTCTTGTGAAGACCCAGACATAAATGCCATCTTCAGGAGTCACAATGACATGAGCACCTTGGTACCAACATACAAACCACCAAAAACACCATACAGATAGGAAAAAACAGTCAGTGTTTACTCAAACAAATGTCTCTGATGAGATCATAATACCTGTCTGGCTGCTCCTCTGATGGCCACTTCCAAAACTGCCACATTTTTTTCCATCAGCATCAAGGGCTCCTCAGGAGAAACTGGCACTTCAGTGTCCTCTGTTGTGCTCACAGATGGCTGCAACATATATGCCCAGGGAACAGGTTTCCAGAGCAGATAGCACCTAAAGCCTGGCAAAGGCACAACCTTTAGGAAGTCCCATGTCTGGAGCCTGGAAATCGCCCAAGAGGAGGTCAAAGGCAAGCAAAAGCAGGGGGCCTTAAAAGCAGGAAGTCTTGCACAATATCTGGGACTTTCCCAGGGTGGCAGAAAGCTGACACCAGGAGATGCAATCACCCTGTCAGGAAAATGTCACAGCATCAAAGGCAAGAGAGCCACCAGCATTGAGCAATTCTGCCTAACACCACTGCAGAGAAGTCACCACTGTGCTGCAGCTGAAGAAACATCACCTGCCAGATCTTCAAATGAGTCAGGCGTGGCATGGCTGCAGTAACACAGCTCAAGGCAAGCCCGGGTCACTGCAGGAAAACAGTTTGGGAAATCTCAGCAGAGACCAGGACACACACATTCCTGTGGAAACTCAAGGGTGCGGGGGGCAGGCAGGGCTGTGGGAGGCAAGTAGACAGCCCCAAGCTCAGTGCTACCACACAGCTATTACCTGTGCCACTCCTGTTCAGGGCTGTTCTGGTCTAGCTGGTTGTAGTTTGGCTATACTCAACACAGTCCCCGCTCATCACCGCTTCACAGCTTGTACAACTGTGTGGGTAATGGCAGGTGGGTATTTAGATCTGCCACTGAATGAGATAAGCACAGCACTAGCCAGAGGGTAGCTTAGCTTCCTACAGAAGACTTGACTGATCTATTTTAACTATTGTTCCAGGACCTCTGGGTAATCATAGTAAGAGAACATGCTTATGAAATATTTCACAGAGGAAAAAACTTGGAAATCAGGATTCCCTCTCATGTTTCTTTTGCCTCCACTGGGCCCACAAAAGAAAGATGTGTTGCCAGGAAGCTAGAGGGGTTAGTTAAGCCTGCCTAGTTTCTGCTGATGGCCTCGTGAATTTCACACACAGCAGGACAGCTCATTACTTCCAATGATAATTGTGCTCTTCCTGGTAATCTCGGGCACCCTGAAGTCCTAACAGTACACATCAGGTAAATGGAAAGTCATTGCACAAAATGAGCTGATTAAGCCTCATGTCTATAGATCTTGTGCACCTTGTGTCTAACTCTAGTCCTCTCAGCTCCTTCTCACCTGGCTCATCATCAGCACTGGCATGGTCAGCATTTCATAAGAAGTTGAGGTGTACACTCCTCATTTCAGTAAAGTATAATACCTGGCACAAAAAAGAAAGAAAGCTATTGACAGGATGTTCCTAGGGGAAGCCTGCCCTTTCATAGCCTGATGTTTCATAGCTGGCTACAAGAGCAGTTGTTCTTGCTAGTCCCAAAGAGCTCTGGCAGAGAAAGAAGTATTTCGCATGTAAAATCCAGTAACTCATCATCATCATGGCTAGGCTTCATGAACGAAGATTTGAGAAGGGCTCTACCCATGCTTGCTACAAGCGCGCTGATGGTTAAAAAGGCCAATGCAAGATAGACAAGTCCGGTTGCAGAAGGCACAGCAGAAAGACTCCCCAGGTGATATCGACGAGACGCGATTCTTTCTGCGTTGTCTTTTCTCCTCGAGAGTGATCCTGCGTGTGTTCTCAAAAGCAGCAGCAGCGTTATAGATGGTGTGTCTCCAGGCCTCCCGATTGGAGGCCAGGGTAGACCAATGGTGGTGATCGATATGGCCAAGGCTGAGGGATTGTTTCAGGCAGTCCTTGTATCTCCTCTTCGGGGCTCCTCTCTTGCGGCAGCCAGTGGCAAGTTCCCCATAGAGCACGATCTTAGGGAGGCGGTAGTCCTGCATCCTGGAGACGTGCCCTGCCCAGCGCAGCTGTGTTCTCAGCAGCATGGCCTCAATGCTCTGCTCGTGACTGCTGCCTGTTCAAGGACAGACGTGTTGGTCACATAGACAGTCCAGTGGATGTTTAGGATTGTATGGAGGCAGCGCTGATGGAAGCGTTCTAAGAGACACAAGTGGTGGCAGTAAATGACCCATGATTCAGATCCATATAAAAGAGTAGACAGTACAATGGCTCTGTAAACACTGATCTTTGTACTTTTCTTCAGGTGTTTGTTTCGCCACACTCTTTTATGGAGTTTACCAAAAGCTCTGTATGCCTTTGCTAACCTGTTGTCTATTTCTGCATCAATCTTACCGTCTGAGGAGATGATGCTTCCCAGGTAATTAAATTGCTGGACTGATTTGAGCTCTGATTCGCCAATGCTTATATGGGGATGATGGAAGGCTTCCTGAGGTGCAGGCTGATATAAAACTTCTGTCTTCTTCAAGCTGACTTCCAGCCCATAAAGTTCAGCAGCCTCTGCAAAGCAGGACATTAAACGCTGCAGAGCTGCTTCTGTGTGGGCGACGAGGGCAGCATCATCAGCGTAAAGCAGCTCATGGACAAGATGATTTGAAGTCTTAGTGTGCCCTTTGGAGCATCATGCTGAAGAAGATTGTGAATAAAGTTGGTTCAAGAATGCAGCCTTGCTTCACACCACTGGTTATTGGAAAGGGCTCAAAAAGTGCATTGCCACATCTGATGTGGCCGTGCTGGTCCTCTTGAAGTGAGATGATAATTTTAAGGAACTTGGGAGGACATCCTAAACATTCCAAAATCTGCCACAGACCTTTTCTGCCTCACAGTCTGCTCACAGTATCAAAAGCCAATCCAGTAACTACTTACAAGAGAAACTGATTTGAAATTGCTAGACAGACCACTTTTCCTATTCATGGCAAAAGGGTATCACACAGAACCCCTTCCAGTACCCAGTTATGGGCTCAATGACAAATCAAAAGACTTTTGCCACAACCAAGGTCAGGAAGTCTAGAATTTGCCAGGCATGTCCTTGTCTCAGATCCCCTTGAGTTTCTTTTGCTGAGCATCTGAAGGAGGCAGAGACATGTTTTTTTTTCCCATAGTAGCCCTAGATTCTTGATAGATTTGCTGTTGCAGAAGCAATTAGTACAAACACTCCAGTTAGCATTTATTAGCAATATAAATCTCACCACAGCAAGCTGAGTCTTCACACATAGTACAAATACACATATATCTGTGCCTGTATGTATACACACATATACAGAAGATGCCAAATCTCCTCCAGGATTGAAAATCAGTTAGTTCTGCTTAAACATGGCAACTCTTCTCTTCATTACTTTTGTCTCCCATCTTCAGGCACTCTCAAGATAATACACATACTGATAGACACAAAGTCTTTTGGACTCCGGTTTTCTAAGAAAATTTACAAAACTTAGGAAAAAAGTTGCTTTATTGAAAATAATATTGTGCTTTGTAATGCTTTGTAATTTCAGATTCTGTCTTAATGTTTTATGTTATCAGTTACAGTATTACAAGATAACGAACTTCCCTTAAAAAGGTACAGAAAATCATGGTAGTAAAATAGTAGCTTTACCCAAGAATAATGCACAGCATGCATGAGTATAGAAACCAGAATCTGAAAACACATCTCTTCACATACAGTGGTGCACTGTACATGGAACACAATCACACAGGCTGACAGCTGAGGGTTACTCATCACTTATGAGAACTTCCAAAAGAAAGGCAGTCAGTGTTTAGTATTTCAAAACAGTAATGCAGCTACAATTAAACCACAACTGGTTGTTCAATAAGGGATCATGTCCCAGCTCCAGAATAATGAAGCACTGTTAAGTCCAGTCACCTCAATACTAGGTTAAACCACAATAGTAAACTGAGAATTGAAAGTATGTCTGGCTATGTTTCACTGCCCATGAGATGAGTTCTTTCTTCATTATTACCAGGAGGATTTTGCAGGTTGGAACTGGAACTGTTTGCATAAGGAAAAGAACAGGAGAGAAAACACAAGTTGCATATGCTCTAGATACTTCTATGCAATACCAGCATTAAAAGCAAAAAAAGCATATTACATGCAAAGAGCTATGTGGATCACTGGATTTGGTTCCCTGCTATTGCACCCAACCATGTACTATTCATTCATACTATCATATAATGGTTTGTACTGAAAGTGACCTTTAAAGATCAGCTAGCTCAGCCACCCTGCTACGGGCAGTAACATCTTCAACTAGATCAGGTTGCTCAGAGACATGTCCAACCTGGTCTTGATTGTTTCCAGGGATGAGGCATCCACTACCTCTCTGGACAACCTGGTTCAGTGTTTCACTACCTGCACTGTAAAAATTTTCTTCCTCATACCTAGTGTGAATGTACCTTCTTTAAGTTCAAAACCTTTACCTCTTGTCCTATCTGTACAGGCCCTACTAAAAAGCTTGTCCCCATCTTTCTAGTAAGCTCCCTTTAAGTACTGAAAGGCTGCAATATGTTCTCCCCAGAGCTCTCTCTTTTGCAGGCAGAACAACTCCAAGTCCCTTTCCTCACAGAAGAGATGTTCCAGTCCTTTGATCCTTTTTCTGGCTCTCCTCTGGACCTGCTCCAACAGGTTCATGTCCTTCGTGTGCTGAGGGTCCTAGAGCTGGATGCAGTACTCTAGGTGGGGTCTCAGAAAAGCAGAGCGGAGGGGGAAAATCACCCTTGTGATTGTCCAGGTCCCCCTGGATGACACCCAATCCTTCAGGTACGTCAGCTGCAGTACTAAGTTTGGAGTCGTGAAAATCTGCTGAAGGTGCACTCGATCCTATTACCTATGTTGTTGGTTAAGATACTAAGTAGCACTTGTCCCAAGGCAAGACCCCTGAGGGACAACACTCGTCAGTGATCTCCACCAGGACACTGAGTCACTGACCACTACTCTCTGCACATGACCATCCAACCAATTCCAGCTCACAGACACACTTCTGGAGGAAACATCAGTAGGATTTGCTCGTTATTGCCATGGTCCTACTGGTTGTATAGAATAGGCATTGCCTTGTTTATGTGTCTGTTGACAGTAGGGATTTAGGAAACCATATAGAGAAATTATTTAAGCAATATTTTTACTACTCATCATTCATTATCAGGTTGGTAATGAGGAAAAAGGTGGAAGCACAGCTTTCAAAGGTTTGCTTTAGATGACTGCAAGTAAAATAAAGAATAAATAATTCAGCATACCTTTTCCTTGTTGCCTCAATGATATAGAATATTCCAGTTGTAAGCCCCTTTGAGGAAACAGTAAGTTACAATTGTAATAATAATAACAACTTTATGCAATAGTTTGCAAGTACAATAGATACAAAACAAAAAATGTGTTACTACTTACACTTAACAGTGCCAATCCTCCCTGGATGGCTGCAGCCCATTCAAAACCCAGACTTTCATTTAGAAATCCTCCCAGAATGGGACCTGCAAACGCCCTGTAACAAATCAAAATCATGTATTGGCATCCCAAACAAAAAAGATAACATATCATATTCTCAGAGAACTGTTTTATTGTGTTTTGTGGCTTTCCTTCATAGATTCTCTCACTTTTGTCAACAAAGAAATTGTCTTCCACAGACCTAACTTCCCTATAATCCACAGTAAGTATCAATTCTTTGTTTTCCAAGGCCCCTACAAATGTGTCTAGTCACCTCCTCAGCTGGAAATAGGACCCACATCAGAAAGCTGAATGCAGTCTTTTTCAACCCATTGAAGACCATGTTCTAACAGAATATCTACACTGATCAACTCTATCATAAGAGAAATTCAAAGTCTGATCCATCAAAACACAAAGCTTCCAAACCTCAAGACAAAGTACTAGTGAATATAGGCTGCTGGGGAGGCACGCTGTGACAGCCATGGTCACTGCAAGGTTGAGCTGTGTCTTAACTGCCCTGCACCTTTAATGCCTGTCTAAAAATGCCATGAAAGGTTATGCAGCTACTGTCTCTTTATGAAAGGTCTTACATGATCTGGTCTCTCACTACAAAAGGGACAAAACTGTGAAAAACTAGAGAGATTTCCTAGAAGAAAGTTACACTATAAAACTGGGCTTGATAAGAGCAAAAACTGAGGTTTTGTAACTTTATACTACCTATGTCTGTACTGAACCCTATGCCAAATAAACAGGACATCTGGACAGCTAGAGCTTGTAAAAAATGGTGTAAATTTGTGCCACTGAAACACACCTGCAGCCACAGAGGACTACCAGGACAGATAAAAATATCCTGGAAGTGGCTGTCAACAGGGGCACTCTATCACTTCCCACTGAGTGACACCTCTGAAGGGTAACTCAGCCAGTAAGCACCTTTCATTCATTTCTGAGTCAATGACCACTAAGTAATAAATACAGACACTTTCTGATAAGCTATGCAAACACGTACCTTAAATAATTCCTGTGGCTGAAAAAGAAGAGAAGATTCTACCCTATCACATACAAAAGGAGGAAATGTGGAAAATGGAAAGCAGAATTAGACAGGAGCAGGCACCTTCTAGCTCACCTCATGTAGGTAGACATAGCTTTGTGAAAAATTAGGGTCCAGACCTCTCTGTACTGAACATTAAATATTTTAGAGACATGAAAAATGACCACACAGAAGTTCAAGCAAACATCCACTTAATCACTGCAGCTTTTTGATACGCAGAACAACACATTTCAAGGAAGACAAGTTCAGCATCTTGTCAAAACCAGTTTTACCCTTTTCTGGGTAAAAAGCTTTGTTTTAATATGCCCACCAGGCACCTGTTCTAGTAAAAAAAGTTTTTAATCAAGGTCAACACAATGGTTGCAAGGTAAGACTTCCAGTTAAAATGCAGTCAGGTTTTGTGCGGCAACAGTGTCGAACAATCAAACTCTCCTAGGTTACAAAAAGGTGTATACCTACCCAAGAGACCACATGGCATTGAAGAGTCCAGACACCAGTCCCAGCAGACTCAGACCTTCTTCAAATCCATTCTCACTGCAGAAAGACAGGCCAGTTAAGAGTAGTACAACACATTATTGTGTCTCAGTCTATAGCCTTTCCTTATGGAGTTTTTCCCCCTTCTTTTAATTTGCACACTACACAACTAGTTAACAACCCAAAGCGTATAGCAGAATGTCTGTTTATCCAGTACTTTCTTCCTTGCTGCCTCTCTGGAGGATTACAGTGCTACTCCTCCTCTCCAATTTTTTCTGAGTAAGATCACTAACATCACACCATCACACTCATTCCCCATGTTTCATACGGCAAGTGTAAAACAGTGACAGGTGGCTTTTAAGAAGAAAATACCTTGTTCCAAAAGGAACATAGTAATAAGAGTAAATCAAGACCCTTCTAGGTCATTACTGCCAAGCCACAACACAAACCTTGTACTCTGAGCAAGCATGACTCTTGTAGGTGCAGTTGTAAGAGCCAATATAGTCTGAAAATCCAGTGAATGCTGCTTGCTATTAGTAGTCCTCAGAAGCTGTAATAATCCTATGTATATGAAATCACACACAGGTTCACCAGGTGCTATCAGACGCAAAGTCTGATGGACTTCAGTGTGTTCATAGTACTGAGGTACACATTTACAAAGTTATACTGGGATTATAATGACTGGGGCACTCAGAAAAAACTAAGACAAGAGAGTAGTGGAAGCATTTAAGTGTTACTAGCTGCCTTTGTCTCAAAGAGAGGTAAAAAAGCCACACTTTGTATTCACCCTTTCTGAGATATGAGAGCCGAGTCTCACTGAATTATTGATATGGATCAGAACCAACTCACTGTGCCTGGGTGTGGGGAATGACGGGGCCTAGACCTGCAGGTACAAGATATGCCTGCCTTATCACATAAAGCCTGCTGAGAGCACATGGCCTGCAGCTCAGAGGGCCAGGTCCCTGAGAGCACATGGCAGAGCCAGAAGGCTGCAGCTAACATGGCTGAGCCCATGCAAAGCATACAGCATCACTGAAGGCCCTGTAGCTGGGCTGTCAGTCAAGGCAGACCTGCCTGGTAGCCCACCGACACAATGCCCTTGGACTCTGTAACTGGCTACAGCACACCTCACTCTGGCCTGGAAGGCACTGCCCGGATATCCTGCCTGGGAGAGAAAACTGAACTATATAAATACACTCCATATGAGACTCCATATGAGCGCTCTCTCTCTCTTCCCTCCTGTTGCCTGCACCATGTGAATCGTCGAATCTTGCCAGTAACCATTTTTCCTTTCCTCTCTCTCCTTCTTTCTTTCTTCTCTCTTTGTGCTTTTCATCTGTCCTCTTCTTTTACTCTTTTCCTTCTCTTGCAGGTAACTTAAAACAAATGAATTGTGTTTTACTAAAGGTGGTATATGGATTATTTATATGGGGTGTTTTCTGTTGAATGGGTCTTTGTGCTGGGTGTTTTAGTAAAATGTTTTTCTTCAGTTATATGTGTACCTGTTATATGTAAAACCTTTTGTCAAAATGTCTTATTTTTCTTGCCAAATTAAAGAAGATTTCTCCTAGAGAAAAGTGTGTGGCTCTTTCTCCAGATGCGAATTTGAGGTTATAATGAACCAAATGGCTTAGAAAGTCTTTAATATGTAACTGCTCTGGGCAGCTTATGGTTTAAAATCCAGAGCGTAACACTCCTGACAAATAGCTGCAGTTTCCTACTGCCAGTAGCATGAAAGATGGGTTGGACCAAGTTACTTACTGTGCACATTGCAGTACCTCTGGAAACACTGGAATAGCACTCATGCCAAGGGAAAAGCCAATCAAAACCAGCACTAGCACAAACATCCACAGCTGACTGAAAAAGAGGCATTCAAAATAAGTTAGCTGCTTAAAACTCTTTTCAAAGGACCCCACTTAACTGATGGCTGTTATATCAGCATTCCATGATTGATCAGCAAATTATGTTTGTTGAAGCCAATACAAAGACTTGAAAAATACAGTTCTTTGCTTTAAAAAAGGACTTTTTAAAAGAATGTGAAGAACCTGTGCTCAAATCACATATTTTCTTATCAAATGGAGTTTTGTTGGTAAGTTAAAAATCGTAAGTTGATTTAACACATAGAGAAGAGGTCAACAGATGAGCTTAACTCAATAATGCATCTGTCCAAGCTCCATACTTGGTTTGTTGCAGAAGTGGAGGATTTTGAAGCTAAAATTTTGTAGCCTAGGATATTATAAGCAAATAGACTTAGGTAAAGAATATTGAAGACATCCCTAATTTCTTTTTCTCACCAGTTCAAACATGTCACTTTGCCAGTATCAATATATAATCTTCTTCAAAAATTAGGAACCTAGGAGGAATTCTACACATTAACAATCCTATCATCATCTTTAACAGATTATCTAACCTAGGACAAAAGGACTGTACAGTTGTTTTGTAAATGTAGTAGAGTGATTTGTTGTGAATTAACTCTGAGAGGTAGGGCAATACAGCATTCAGGTGCAATGGACATTGTCTTTACTTAGCTAGCTGAAGACAAAACTATAATCTGGCACTTTCCTCAGTAAACTATACATAGAGAGAAAAAAATCATTATGAACACAGTTAACAGTACAAAGCAAAGGAAAAGAATCTATTTTATGAAGCTGTAAAATCTCTGTTTTCAGATGTTTTCACTGCTTTACACTCATAGTCATGCTAGACATAAAAGTGTTTCATGGTCAGAGGTGCTAATTATAAAGTTGAGGACATACATGATACGGTTGAAAACATCACATAAGGGGGTAGGCTCAAGAAGAGGCAGTTATTACCTTTCAATGTGCAATACTGGAGCAGGTCCTAACATGAAAAAGCACAGTGCTGTCAGTAAGCCTCCAGCTATCAGCAGCCACTTCCTGGTGTACTGTGAAAGACGAGGTATGCAATTTAAAATTGTGAATTTGTAATGTAGCTATTTTGTCTTTCCTAATATTCCTGCTCTAAATCTTTATCTGAAAAGTATGACCCCTGAAGAGATCATCATTACAGAAAAAATGAGAATTCAAGTTTCCCTGCCAATTCTGAACACCAAATAGTGAATCCATGTTTCCTCACCGGCAATGCAATCACTGGTAGCAGCTGCTTAATACAGACCTTTCTTTCTGACACTGAGCAATAGCGCTTCTCTGTTAGCGAAGTATTTTAGGACTTACTCTTCTTTAATGTAAGAAATATCATGTAGCATTGCCTTTAAAGGTCCCTTCCAACCCAGGCCATTCTATGATTCTATGTAATTCTCATGTACAAAGGCCATTATTACTTTGTGTCAGGAAAACACAGTGTCAGAAAACTGTCACTGTCCTTCAGGCACAGCATTCAAAGTGTAGGTTTCCTTGATCCATTCACAGTGGCTCTCAACTAGGCAGTTTTAGCCATTTCACTGTCAAAGTCTCTTTCTATGGTGCTGTCAAGAGCTAAAGGACTATAGCCAGCCAGTGTGCTGATCTAATTTGGATATTATACTTTTTAAGAGATAAAGGCAATAGAGCTAAGCAAAACATCTTTAATCCTCTTCTCAAAAGCTAATACAATTAGATGTGGTCAAAAGTAGGGGTAACTGGGACATATTTTCCCAGTCTTTATTCCACGTTGTCTGAAAACAGATTGTGCTTAGTCCACTAGAAAAGCTCAGCACACTTCAACCGCTTGTCCAATGTCCTTTACTACTTTGGACATTCCTAAATTACCTGTGCCTTGGAAAAGAGACCTTCCACTTGGCAGTAATGGGTGCATGTGCATGATTCTGAAAGGCAGGTCCCTTTACAGGACCAGACCTACATCCATTGCTTCAATATGGGAAGTCCTCCATCTCTTCCAAATAGTACTCACTGGCAGTTTGTCGCTTACAAGTCCAAGGAGGGGAGAAGACAGGGAATACGAGAGTGCCAAACCAAGGAACACCAAGCCCACATAACCAGTTGGGAGCTTGAACTATGAAAAGGAATGAATAAAACAAAAAACCAAAATAAACCATACATGCTACATTCATTAGAGGACAATTCAAGAATTATATTTTGGTTCAAAATACTGAAATGCACGATTTTAATCATTTTACTGATACCATACAAAGGTTTTTCAAGTATTTGAAGCCATCAACAGAGTTTCAGTTTCATTGCTTTCCACAACATGGTAAAACCACCTGACATAACTGTATTCATATAAAGCCTAAATAATGTCAGGTGGAAACACTATGCTATGCCTCCTACAACAGCACGCTGGTTTCTAACATTACTATCTGATGCATTTGAAACAGTCACTTTAGACAGTTGAAAATTAGATGGATTTAATCTTTACTTCTCCAATTTCAGTTTGCTTTGTACTTAGAAAAGCATAACACTGTAGCCATCCACTGTTAATCAGCGCATCTTAAAAGTAAATAGTGCTATAAAACTCAACTGCAACTTTTCCACCAGAGGATGATTTTTATGAGAATGAATAAGAGTTTTTTTGCAAACACCCCGAGGTCTACACTGTCCTAATGCAGAGACATATTTCTGTAAACACATTCCTGAAACAAAATGTGTAATGAACTGAAAGCACACCAGTCTCTCAAATGAGAGCCTTGACTAACAGAAGGTACTCCAAGATGTTTCATGTGGCATTGACTACATAAATACTCATTATTTCCTTGCCATATGCAAGCACACGATAATAACTCTAATACAGTGGTTAGAACGCCTGCCAAGAAGGCTGCAGTCCTTTCACAGCAAGTATCTGTTAGCACAGTACAGAAGGAAAGCAGAAGAGCCACAGAAGGACACAGTATTCTACAGTGGGATACTTACAGATCCCTCCTGGGTAATGAAAGATGTACATTCACATCTCCATTGATGAAAGCAGTTAGCACCAAGTCCCCTTCACCCCAGATAAGTGCTCTAAGTACAATACTAGATAGACAAAAAGCAGGAGCACAATCACCTGCGAAACACTATCCCTTAGAAAAACAATAAATAAAGCACTCAAAGAGCATTGCTTAATTTCACAGAGGAACTACTTACTTCAAATCCATTACCTTAAACACCACTGGGAAAAATAAATAAATCAAGTAGAAAACAAATAAGTATTAAAATAAATAATAAAAAAATAAATAAAATGTAATTTGCCTTTTTAACGAATGAGTGAAGTCAGGTGGCAACTACATAGTTGCAATCAGTTTAATTCTAGGATTGCTGAAAAAGAATGCAGAGCTGTGACACCACTTAGTGGAAAACAAGTGTTCACATCAAGAGATGTAACACTGTCAGTGACTGTGGCACTTTTCAAGAATTTGATTTCAGGAAGGAAGAAAAAGTCCCTTGCTTACAAAACCAGCTGCTGTGTCCTATTCAGAGAAGATACTTTGTTGTTGAAAGCCAATTAAGTGGAAAAAGCACATGCTTAAAGGCCTTACATTTCCTTGTTCTCAAAGTTACCAAGATCCAGCAGGATGATATAGTGTCAATAGAAATTGACTTGTCAGTACTGTGGAAATCATACTATTAACAGTTAATTCAAGCAGTGTAATTGGATAAAGCTTAATTTCATTTTGGATATTTAAACCACATTTATAACCAGTTACTTACTACTTAGCAACTCAAGAGTTCACTGCATGTTAGCAGGACTTACCTTCTTTAGAATAAATAGAGATATTGTGGGATCCAAAAAGCCCAAACATGCACTTAGAGAAAATATAGTGAGACAGAGTACTAAGACTTTTGGTAGAAGTATAAGCTTCCAAAAGGATTCCTTGCTAGGGATTGAATCTGTTTCAATAGAAAAGGGGGGAAAATTGCATTATCATAAGCTCATGACTGATCTTCTTGCTATAGAAAAGAAATCAGTATTTCTCTTTTTCTAGTCCTATTACTCCCGTTACATAACAAATGAAAGTCAATAGTAGATTATTATGCACTATACTATTTTTATAGTGAAAAACCTAATTTCATAAGCGAAGAAGAAAAGTGCACAATGTAAATCTCAACACTGCAAATTCCCAACTTGAACAAAAGCATGTACTACTTCAATTATGTGTAAAAACAGTTACTTCTCTGCTAGTACTTATACAATGAAATTCTCAAGGGTACGTCTCACACATACATGAACAATTCATATCCAAACAAAGAAACGTGGTTTAAAAGTAAGATAAAAAGATAGTTATTTATCAGTTGAGAGCTGCCAGATTTTTTAAGCAACTAGGTGTTTGGGTCTCCTATATGTCCAATTTGTACTCCAGGAAACTTCTTTCAGATGTCATCATTACATGGCACTTCTAAGTCAGGCTCCTTTCCTGATGCTGTTTCTCCTTTAATAGTTGAATGAGGTCTCAAAGTATACATTAGAACCTAAAGTTCAATCACTCGCATCCACCACCTCAGAGCTAACATTTATTTAACATCTTTTCAAATTGGCTAGTAATATCATGACTCCAGACAATTTCAGAGCTTGGGGAGGTCAGAGGGAAAGCCAGCAGTAGTAGCACATGGTTTATTACTGCAATTTTCTTCTAAAAGCTAATATACACAATTTTTTTAAGAAGCATTTTAAAGTTACATTTTCTTTTTCTCTATAAAAGAATAATGGAACTGTAACCTTGCAATTACAATCTTGTGTGAAGACATCTTTAAGTTAGTTTTCTGTCTGAGCAGGATCATCTAAAATTTAGTTAAATTTATATGACCTCCAGCACTTCATTAAACACCTCATTTATTAACTTTAACATTCTTTCAAGGTAATGAGATCCTGCATAATTCAGTACAAAAAACATTTTTTTCTCCCTGTAATTAGTTTCCCCACGCACACTGTTAACTCCTCAAGTATGTCGAGATCTCTTGTTTTAGGCAAAATCTATCTCCAGCTTTTCTTCAACTAGCTGCAATGACAAACCTATATGAAGCAGAATCAACTAGTCCTTTATGAACCCTGAAGCTAAGAAGTGAAAAGAAAACAAAACATATCTCAGTTCACTTCCACAGAGTTCTTAGTGTTTGCAGAAATGGGCATGAGGAGCTGCATTCATTCCAGGCCATGTGTATACAAGGGTTTAGGTTAGCAATAAAACATGGGCCTGATGAAGATGATCGGGTAATTCAACTGGAGCTTTGCCCTCTGACTTGGATCAGACTCCAGAAGCTGATATGTTTTAAAGACACTTAAATACTTGAGAAATAAAGGTGAGTGAAGGAGACAGGTAGAAGGATGCTTACCATATTTTGGCAATATGCACATATTCATAGGCACGAAAACCAACACTATACATCCCAGGGTAATGAAAGGGACCTCATAACCAAATGATTGATACAAGAAGCCACCTAAAGGTGGGCCCAGCACCATTCCAAGTCCTGAGAAAATTTCAAGGCTGCCCTAAAGGATGAAAAAGCAAGCAAAAAGGAAGTCAGTATGTTGAGCAAATACAATGCAATGATACAAAGCAACCAATCTGTCTGAGGAGCAGCACAACCTAGGCAGGCTAGTGAAAAGACACTACATCACTAATGATAACAGCTAGTAGTGACCTTCACAAGGTGGGATAGAGAAAGGGATTTCACAATTATCTGTGTGACAGCCATAATCTCTTTTGGTTCACTACAGAGAACCGCCTGTACTGCAGCATTCACCTCTCCACTGTTACTTAACAGATCCCAGTCCTGAGGCAAGGTGAATGCTCTAGTGGCAGAAAGCATCTGCAGGAAAACTTAAGCTAGATTAAATATCTCTCCCACCTGCCACTACACTCCAGTCTGAGGGGAAGGATCCAAACAAACCTATTAAGATGGGTCATTATCTCATGGGATGAAGTGCACGTGCCAAGTTAATGCCTTCTCTTCATAACCAACTGTTTTGATTCACTCCTTAGGGGTAGGAAATCATAATGAAATTGCAATGGGGATAACACAGATTGTTTTGGCTATAATTTAATAATCTGGTGACTTTTATTGAGATACTAATTTGTAAAAGGACAATAATACAATTATACTTTCCTCTTGCGTTACAAGTCACCACTGTCAACATCTGCCTGAACACTCAGACCACCAGTAACAGCTGGTGGTAATAACTGCTTACAGCTACAGTTTTGATAACTTCTGGAACCCAGAAAGATAGTATAGCGACTCATCCTCATCTTTAATTTTAATGATGCAAGTCAGAGTAGTCAAATGGCCCAAACACAGGCACAGTCGGCAATAGCCAAGTTCTTTACCTTGGGTCAGCCTAGGGTTGCAGCCTTTTGCTTTCCTAGCAAAGGAGATAACTAGTAACAACATATGACTAGCAAGTTTCAAAATTTCCAGATAGATTTGAGACATTTTGGTAAACTTTGAAATGTGGAATAGCTGTTGATTTAACACATTGCTCATTAACCATAAAAAAATATTGATTTGATTTATGAGACTTTGGTTCAAATCAGGATGTACATCATTTAACCCTCTAAGTTAATGAAGCAGGGACAGAGGGGAAGCGGAGACATCGCATTAGTACAGACTAGAGGACAAGATAAACCTGATACCATAAGAAAAGTGAGATTGCTTATGTTCTGAAGTCCATACTACCTCCAACAGAGGGATCATGTTGACATAAGCTCAACTTCCCACTTCATCAAGTGCCTACATTTAATAACTTCCCATACATTCTCTAGGGTACCAAAGGAGTAAAGGTAGGCTGAAAACTGATACCAAAATGTAAGGAGAGAAATTGCTTTTCAGTATCTACCACTGTCAAGAAGGGCAATGAAAAGCAAGGCTAAAAATATCTCATCCACTGCCCCAGCCTTTGCAATGTTACTGTAGGATGCACCTTGCTTCAAACCATCAGCTCTTTGTTCTGCCTCCTGTCTCAGAGCTAACAGTAACAAGAACTCTCCATCGTGTCCATTTAAGGACAGTATGTCTAAATGAATGAATTTGAAGAGATTTCATTCTCATGCAGAAAAAGACATTAGACCACACAACACAATATGGTAAACAGAACCATCATTTAGAAGTCACCTGTCTTCTTACAGAACCCTTCCTAGATTTTAAACAAAGGTAGCTGCCAAGCCATGGCTGTGCAGCATTTCTAACTGTGGTCTTGAGATGACCTTCAGCGCCACATACCATTTTCAGTCACGTATCATGGTTATTGTGCTGCCACAACATGATTTCATTTCTTTTTAATTCTGATTATAAGACAAATAACTAAGTCCCTTTAAGTCATCATTACTTACCTATTTAAATTACATCTTAAAATTTGCAAACAGGAAACCTTAAACCTTAATGACTGAATAAATCCAAAACATGATTGCAATATATAAACTGCTTTCCAAAGAAAATGCTAGCTAATCACTGCTGATACAAATGTAAGAGGAGTTTTTTTAGTTAGGAGGACATATTCTTATAGACATTTATTTATAGAAGTAATTATACAGCTTAACAACAGTTTTAATAAAAGCATCTACTCTTCCAATTTTATTTAATGCTCTTAGGTAAGTTCTTAACATTTGTTCACTCATTGAAATTTAATCTAGTTATTTCTGTCAGTCTATATTTGAACTGAAACCAGAATTTATTGAAAAAGAGAAAGCAGTATTTTTATTAAATACAAAATTTTTCCTCTTAACACCATAAAACCCCAACTAAATAAGGGTAATATCTCTGGTTGAAATGAATCATTGATGACCAGAAATACTGCCCTCCAGATTTCATGAAGTTCTAGCTCTCATCTTCTCATACATGACTTTTATCAATAGACTAGAAAAAATGAAGCTAAAATTGTTTCCAGTTTTGCATCTTTCAGGTATTTAAATCAACACTATTTGAATGAATTTATCAACTTTTTTAATCAATCCATGTGGATCCTTACTATCTACATAGAAGTAGTCACTAAAAGATGTATTAGCATTTTAATAGTCTGATTTCAACTGAAGAGATAAATACTGACATCAGTGGTCAGCTGACTTCAAAGCACAAGCAACTAATATATACTGCCTAATTTACATCTAATTGGAGTTATTGCTAAGGTCTAAACTTGTTCTGGGATTGTGATTCTAGATTACAAACAAACTATGTGGTGACTTCAAATAAGCCTACACATGAGACAACAGATCTTCTCCTCCTGTTTTTAGACTGCCCACTGGTAATTTATCATATTGCAGGTACTCAGCTCTAACACTGCTTTTTGCACTTACCAGGACAGTAGCTATATTAGTGGGAAATGCTTTTGCAAGGATTGAAAACGATGCTGTCATTGCTGCTGCAAAACTTATTGCATCAATTGCTCTTACTAAAAAGCAAAAACCAATGAACATTGGTCCACTTGGCACCTTGTCCAGCATTCTGGAAAAAAAAAACAAACCCAACAATAAATGGAGTTCTCTCAGGATGCAAGCAGTCATATACTAAAGGTTCTGGAGTATCATTTCTTACTCATTAAAGGACACAGCTACAAGACAGTTAATGCTTCCTATTGCAACATATTTTTGAATCACATCACTGAAGTCATTCAAACTTTACCAAACTATTTCTGGCAGCTTTCTCCCTCTCCCCTTTGTTTGCAAGTGAAAAGAACAAGAAAAACCCAACGTGTGACAAGCTCCAATGCCATCTTCTGTTGTATTTCATAGCTTTTCCAACCACCTGTGCAAGGAGTCTGATGCAATGTGTTACAGCTACCTAAGAAGAGGTTCTTGCCTTGCTAATAAAACATTTATTTTGTTAAAACGAGTGACTTAGCCTCTTCACCTGCCTGGCAAAGCTCCCCATTTGCACTCAATATTTTCAAGAAAAGAGAAATTAAAACGTTATGCAGAAATAGTTCCCTTTTTGCTGCACTTTGGCTTCTCATTTGCACTCAATATTTTCAAGAAAAGAGAAATTAAAACGTTATGCAGAAAATAGTTCCCTTTTTGCTGCACTTTGGCTTCTCACTGTTAGTGAATTACAGTAGTTATTTAAATAACTTAAAGAACTTTCCTCCTCTGTTTTCAAAGTAGTATACAGACTCTGAAACCTACTAAAAGGGAGAAGTGTTCATTCTGCTTTACAAGTAAAAGGTAAAAACTAAAGATATAAAAAGTTAGGTGACCTAACCAACACACAAAAGATGCCCAAGACTTTCTAGTTTTGTTTTGTGTCCATCTTTTCATATGGATAAAAATGATCAGAAGACAAATGCAACAAAAATTACTCACCCAAACAGAATGGTCACACATCCTGAAACAAACATCCCTGCCACAAACATGAATTTTGCTCCAATACGTGTAAGCTGTAAATTAAATACCATTTTCCACACATTAGTATTTCAAGGAATAATCAGAAATCTTCCAACATAAGTTAGTGTTAAGAAATCAAACATTATGGGCAGTTTAATAGGACATGTAACTAAAAGATCTGGAGATACTGCTTCTGCTGGTATACCTTTATGCAACACTGAACCTAAAAATACTCTGAATGGTTAAGTGAATTAATCCAGTCTTCAGAATGGTAAGACAATGCTGCAGTTAACTATGTCACAGCAGCATGCTGCAGCTTCTGCAGCGCAGCAGGTTACAGCAGCAATCCTCTGTTATAAACATTCCCCCTCCAGCACCATGACTGAGGGAAGGCTAGCAATACCTGTCACATATATGGCTGAGGAGTCAATGGAAGCTGATTTTAAATCAAATTTATCACTACTTTTAATACCACAAAGCTTTGGCACGGGAAGCATGGTAGCTTCAGGCCTCCAAATTCACTACCAGGGAGAGGACCCCACCTTTCCTCATTTCACACTCTATCGGCAGAGTGAAGGACGATGGGAGGTATGCCATAAAGCTAACTCAATTCCGTAACAAAGTACATTTGAACTTCTAATTACATTCTGCAACTTCCCCTAAGGGCAGCAGGTACTTCAGACTCCTTCTTTTTTCAGACCTGGACAAAGTCCCTGCCTTTCAGCCATTATTACTAAAGCCTGTATTTTGCTAAGTTTCATTAAAACCCTCAGGACCTCTGATTGCTGCACTGTCCATGTCTATTGAAGCTCACTTCAGCTGTCTGCAGTGAGGATGGCACGCTCACTCTCTCCCCTGTAAAGTACTTAGTGAGGGGTTGTGCCATGGTTGAATGCCATCATAGGCACCAAGACTTGGACTTAGCAATGGCACTTGCGTGACACTTTGATGAGCCACCTCACCACCACAGAAAAGCACTCACAATAGGATCAGCAAAGAGGTTGCCCGTCCAAAGACAGAGAATATTTTGACTCTCCAGCAGCCCCAGCTTACAGTACGATCCTGAGCAGCCCTAGCCAATAATGCATAGACAGTAGTGCTCCAGCACATAAACAAACAGTTTTGTAATTTATTTGTAATTTCTCCAACATGAGAAAAATCCTGGATCTGTGGGAAAACTCAAGTTGCAGGAACTGGAGACATTTATCTCATATTACTATAATGAAGTGAAGGGGAAACTGAGTTAAGCAGCAGAGAAAATCAAAAAAAAACATACCAGAAAAGAAGAAGGGGTGCAGCTAACTAAAGAATTAAAAAAAAGAAAACCAAAACACATTAAGAACGTTGCCAAAGGCAAACAGAATATACAAGTGCAACAAATAAAATAGGGGATAGAGGAAAGGAGGTAACAGAAAGTAGAACTGATCATCAGATTACTCAGATTACAAAGCTAACAGAACAGTTATCAAAACAGCTACATGTCCATCGCCCTATGCTACCTCAAGAACTACAGAAGAGCACTGACAAGACTTAGATCAGATTCAGACTGACTGGCCAGACTCCAATTAGTGCAGACACGAGCCTGCAGGAGTGCAACTGAAGAGACATCTTTTTTCTCAACCTTAAGGAACTGTCTTCATGTATCAACCTGTGTCAGAATAGAAATAAGTTACAGCTTCAATTATACTTACATAATTTCCCAAGATTAAAGAAGACAAGAAATTGAACAAAGCAAAACATCCAAAAATCAGGCCAACAATGGTGTTACTGGCACCTTTTTTTTCTGCCTGCAAAAAAAGATCACAACCATGTAAAGATGAATTAAAAATCTTGAGCTGAATAACATTCATGCTTTGTACATTTAATTTTTTTTAATTGTCTATTAATGCAGTTAGAAAGCAATTTGCTTTTTCAAAGGCAGTGGGGGTTCACTCATAAGGTAAAATATCACAACAATTTAAAGACGTTGCACTTCTAATACATAATTAAGAGAAAAGCCATGTTCATTCCTCAGTGAATGCAAAAATGTATTATTTGCTGAACAGGTGGAGAGACTTTATACAGGTGGCTTCAACTGGTGTGTAACAGTGTGTGCAACAACAAAACTTCGATCCCTTGCATGGTGAGAGGGCAGTAAACGGAGACATCTGTTATCTTCGGTGTAACATGCCTTCCTATAACAAACATCAATTTATTTACTTCCTTTGGTTGACAAAATACATTTACTTGGACACAAGCAGTACATAGGAATATTTAGAGCAAAAAACCATTTCTTTGTAAATACTCAGGAGCAATTTGATCATGAGAGAAATGGACTCCTGCTGCAAAGGCACCATAACCATTTTTTTTCATCCTATATTTAAATATTGTATTCACTCCACATAAGTAGAGATTTTTTTTTTCCCCTGAGAGTTGCTAGGTTAGGAAGTTAAAACATTTAAGGATGGCCCAGCATGAGTTAACAGAGAGGTAGATAAAAACAAAAAGTCATTGAGTGGTTATGGTACTGAAATGCAAGTCAGGACATTGGCAGTGTTTAATACCAGCTCTATGAAACTACTACGCAACACTGAGCAAAGAACTATTTCAAGTTCTCCAAGAACCCACCTTCTATCGCATATTATTAGTTTGCTGTCACCTCTGTACTCACAGGGAAGATTAGTCCATGGACAGGATCCAGGTCACCATCATACACACACAATCTATGCCAGCATCAGGCTATCACTGAATTCCCACGATTGAAAAGCCTTAACTCAGAGCTTACAGCCAACCATAGAGGTCCCATGGAGTTCAAGATACTTCTAAAGGTTTCAACATGAAAAAAAGTAGTGTAAAGAGTTGCTGACTAAGTTATTTGTTTACCTCTGTAGGGAAAAAGGGTCCCAGGATTGAGTAGCACACCATTGAACTGAAGTTTATGGAAGCTGTCGCAGCCAGTGTAAATAGCTGTTCTCTGGTAAACCGCCCTGATTCCTCACCAAGTGCTTCCGCACCACCATCTAGGAACACAAACCAAAATAACAACAAAGTATTAACTCCCCGATAGAGGGGGACAATTTGCAAATCAGGTTGGAAAATTAAAGGCTGCACAAAAGAACTTCTACCCTCCCTGCTCTGAGAATTAAATCAAGCGGTGCTGCTTTCTTCCCCTCGTGCAGGAGCGTGGACCTTGCCGTGCGGGCGGGAGCTGCCCGCCGCGGTGCGGTGCGGTGCGGTGCGGTGCGGTGCTCGCCGACACCCGCCCGTCAGCCCACCGCGGACGCGCCCGGCTTCATGCGGTGCGCTCTCTGCCCCACCGGGACAGCCCCAGAGCGCGGCCCCGCGGCGTTCTGCCCCTCCAGGGACTTGCCCCGCTCCCCTGCGCTCCCGCTCCCTTTCCCGCCCCGACCGCAGCGTGCGGAGCCCGCGGGGCACCAGCTGCCCCCCTCCCCGGGGGGACGAGCGCGGGGAGCCCCCGCATCCCACCTGCGGGCCGCTCGCTGCCCGCGCCGTCCGCCGCCCGGCTGCCCATGGGGCCGGAGCACCCGCCCGCCACAGCCGCACCGTGCGGCTCCTCCCGCCGGCCCGCCTCGGCAGCGGCCGCCGGCCGACCGAGCACCGGGGCCAGCGCCAGCCCGGCCGCCGGCACTGAGCATGCCCGGCCCGCCGGAGCGGCCCGCCCGGAGCGGGGCAGCCACGGGGTGTGCCCGGCCGGGAGTGCCCGCCCGGAGCGGGACAGCGCCGGGAGTCGGGCAGAGCGGGAGCGAGCTGCCGGCTGCCGGGGAACGCTGCGCGTCTGGCTCGGGGGAGTCACGATGCGCTCTAGGACTGGTAGAGCGACAAAGATCGCCGATCTAGAGAGCTACACGGGCTCTATCTAGCAAGTTACAGGATCCGTGAAACAGAAGCGCCAGAGCATAACGACAGCGTTGTCACAAGAATTAATAGCTATAACTGGCCAGGAGTAAATTCAAGCTGGCGATGAGGCAGAGGTGGTGTAATCAATGCACTTGGCCCGAGTTCCTATCCACAGGGCAGGAAAGTGAGGAGAGAGATGGGGTGTGAGCTGACGATCTCTTCCAAATGTGATAAAAGACAGACCACCTGTTGCTTGAAGAGAAAAAAAACCAGTAGTTACTTCTCAAAAGCGCTATTTTAACTAGGCCAGTACTCCATCTAGTCACCAGTTATATAATACTAAGATGCATAAAAACAACATTTCAGAGCAAATGTTGCCATGTACCTAACTTTAGAATCCCACATCCCACATGACAGGAAAAAAGCAGAACTACTTTCTTATCACAAGATTAGGAAACCGAAAAGCTGTTTAGCAGCCTGAAAGAACAACAGCAACATGTTCCTTTGCTGAAGCCTCTTTGGACAATATATTTTGTGTGGCATACATTATGGCTATGAAGTTGAAAAATCCGTAAGAACTGCCTTGATCTTTTTCTGTCTACCTCCAGAAAAAGACATAAACATAAATCCTTTTCATAGATATTACCTCTTGAGCAGCCTTATCCCTCTAAAAAAACAAACACAAAACCAAAAACCACCCCCAAAAACCCCCAAACAAACAAAAAACAAAAAGGAAGGAGCACTTGTAAGTCATCCTGAGTTCATGAAAGGATGATAACAAAAGTGTGATATATGCAAAGTATGGCATAAAAATAGAGCAAATAATAGAAAATTGGAGAGAGATTAAAATCATGGCATGGCAAGACAATAAAGTCTTGATTTTCGTGGCTAGAATTCAACAGTCAGTTCTGTTCAGGAGGTGAAATAGTTTTCACTCCCAACTACTTGCTCTTTCCAGTCTAGACTCTCACTCCACAAATTCCAAATACTTTCAAAACTCAGTCCTCTCATTAATAATTACATATGAGTAATCCAACAAAGCCTATGGAGTCAGATTTCCACAAAGTCAGTACGTACAGTAGAAGGCTACTGTGATGTACTGTGATCAGCATGGCTCCAATAATGAAACAGGGTTATGAACTTCCCATGCATGCATGGAGTTTACTTATGCACTGCCCATTATTGCCACAAGAAACTGATTGAATCACATCTGCAGCAACTTTAATAAAATGTATCTTTTCTTTCAGATCCAAAATCATGTGTAGAATTCAAGGCTTGGAGTACCAGCCCTCTATAAATACTAGACACGGAGTCAAATCCATTGCTTATGTCCACAACATAAAAACATTTTAAGAACAATTGTTTTAAGGGTAGCTTCCTTCATGGACATCCAGGACATTTTGAAATGTTCAGCACATGTGGGAATACATACTCCTTGTTATTGTTCTATATATTTGTAGAGATCTTAAAAATATTTTTGCATTGCAATCAAGAAAATACTTAGTGAGTATTTTCATCATACTAATATTTCTTTTTTCAGAAGTCATAGCTGCACACTGCTATTTGGAAGTAGTTTAAGTTTACTCTAATGTAGCAACATGATAACCACATTCTTTGAGTGTCTAGTGCAAAATCTGTCTAAGGCAATGGAACCAACAAATTGTTTTGTTCAGTTATCATGAATCTTTCTGGATTTCAAATTGGTACTGAAATCATACTGTAGCTTGTCCTGTCTCTGAGACTTCAGGGTAGTCTCTCCATAATTTCTCTAAGGGCTTGAAACCTGACGCAGACCACAGACATCCTTTTGCACTCCTCAGTAACAGCATATGGGTTGCCTGTTCTTTTCTACGTGTGGAGGCACTTGGAAATAGACATCTCTCCCCTCTGGGCTGGTTAGCAAGCCTTCTGTGGATACAGGGCAAGACATTTGGTAAAAATAGCCTGGCCTTCCAGTTTTCTGATGCAGAACCATTTTTGTTTGTTTATTTGTTTTGGATTTTTTTTTGCTTTTTTGTTGTATGACCAGGAAATAACAGGAAATAAGTAAGATCATTGGTTAGGAAGAGTAAAGTAAAATGCATACTGGTGTTATTTGCAAAAAGACTTCTAGCTTGAAGTTCCGCAAGACTGAGAAATCATGTCTGTTTTGCGAGGAAAATAAGATAATTCTATCTCGTGACACTGGAAATTTAATTATAGCACATGCTTGGGCTTTGTATTTCTAGAGGGAAGTAAGTTCCACAAGGTTTGTTCAGAACTGAAATTCAGAATATTTAGAGTTTAGCAGTGTCATAGACTTCTCTTGGGAGTCTGCAATACCTGACACTTTCATCTGCCTCCCTGGCTGTCTCACTGTACTGTACTGCTGTCTATACTGCTCGGTACTCAGTTCCTGAGTCTCCACAGTTTACAATATGGGACTTAAACTATCTCTGAAGTCTGACATTTTGAAGAAAATATGGGTTATGGTTGTCAGGAGAAGGTAAAGGTTTCCAGAGCAAGAGAGAAAGAGAGAATGAGAGGAAGGAAAAAGGAGCAGAAAGAGGATGACTGAGACAGAGAGAACCATCATATCCTCACTATTGTACTGGTCTTCCGGAGCCCCTGGTGGTCTAGTGGTAAAGGCGCCGCGCTATCACCGCGGAGACCCGGGTTCGATTCCCGGTCAGGGCCACTCCCGGGCAGGTGGGGCTCGTTAGCCCTTAAAGGCAACCCACCTACGTCCTAAGGTCCTCGCTGCCACCGTCCAAGCTCGCTTGGCCCCGGCAGATGAACCTTAGGATTAAAGGGTGGGCTCAGTTCCGCGCACACTGTGTCTCACCTAAAAAATCCAATGCGCAGGCTGGAAGGTGGAAAGACCTTCCCCGGATCTTCGCTCGCGAAGACTGGCCATTACTGGTCTTCCAAAAAAGTCCCCAAGCTCAGTTCCTGTTTTGATCATAGTGGAAAAAAATACGAAGGCTGCCAGCCTGGATAGGGGGGACAGGCAGAGGGAGTCAAGGAATTGAATGGAGAACACAGAGGATAGTAGCAATAACCAAAGAGTTTTTAAATATATGTAGAAAGATGGTGAGTCCAAATGGATCACCCAGAACAGCAGGCTGGAGAGAATACAAATTCTTGAATGTCATGTGACAGCAGCTTGTCTTCCTCTCCCCAAATCCAAGTTTATAGACAGCATGTTATGCTGTTTATAATGCGAGGACTGAGTTCCTGTGGTGGGGCTGGCTGCTCAATGAAACAGCAGGTCAGTGTCTGCACCAACACCACCTCAACCCTCTAGAACCCAGGCAGGCTCTTGCACTGCATCTGGCAGCTCCTCACTTTATAGCCCTGCTTGTTACCCCACTCACCCACCCTCAAGTGCACTAAAAGTACTTTTAACACAGGACTGCAGTCCTTGGTTTAAACATATCATTCCCTCACTGTGACTATATGCCAGCATTTAAACTGCACAGTGATCAATGGACATAACTCTAAGCGAAAATACAGAGCTTAAGGAACTAGCTACTCCTTATAGGAATATGGACTGAAAGGTGGAGCAGGTGGAGTAGTGCCAAGAGTGTGCAGAGCACAGACGTGAATGCTGAGCTCACATTAACACACTGTGCAGAGTGGACTTCTTCCATCAGGATCACACACCTCCATTAATTATTACACAGAACAGATACTCCTACTGTGGTCTACCAACATTTCCACAGAGTTTCAGTGCCAGTGCAAACCTCCTGTCTACACATATATAACTTTTATCTCAGCATAGCTTTGTTTTCTTGTGACTATTAGGAAAACTGTTTTTTAATATCCTGCTTCTAGAATATTAGATTATACTTTGTTATTATCACTCTTGCTGTAACATAAAATCTTTCATATGTGCATACTTCCATCTCCTGGACTGAATGTATATTGCACTTTCTGGCAATACTGATGTGTCTTATGGTCGGATATGAACTTGTTGTTATCCCTTGAAGACCGTTAGGGGAGATAATGATCTGTTGTTCCACTCAGTACAAAAACTACTCTATAGATTAGCTATCTTTGGGGATTTTCAAGGCCACAAGAAGACTAAGTGATAGGTGGATGTAGGGAAAATGGTTCTGAGCACTATAAATGAAACTACATGTTCCCCTTTCTTGTGGAGGAAGGAGGGAAGAAGTCATGGACAAATGTCCCACGGGAGCTGCTAAATTAGAATACCTGTGTTGGGACTCCAGTGGTTGTAAACCCACTGGGGTGTTGCAACTGGGGTTGTAGTTCAGAGTTTCAAACAACGTCTGGCAGTAGCTGGAGGTGCCAGTCGCACCTCAGAGGCTGTCAGGATGAGAAGTGGGCAATGCCGTTCCTGCTGAGTAGCTCAGAGTGCAGGGAGAGGGGAGCCCCCACACTACACTTCTGTCCCCCTGACTTTTTCAGAGGTTAGCCTCCACCCTTTCCAGATCTCTTTAATATAAAGGGTACGGGTGTGCCTGCCTGAGTTAACATTAGCTCTGTCTCACAGCTGGAGCCTGAGAGTACTGCAGCTAGAGCCCCCAGCAAGGACTTTCCCTCGGGCAGGCTCCGAAAGGTGGTGCTGCCCAAGCTGGGGGGCATGTGGGGCAGGTATGGGCCTGTCTCTGTCCTCCCCAGCCCTGCCCTGCTCCAGTGAATCGTTTGTGTACACTGTCTCCTACCTACCTGGATTTAGCCTACATCCTGCTGCTCGGCAACACCAGGAATATCAAAGAACATACTGTGGAAAAGGTGACTGACAACGATGGTGA